CTTATCCACTAATTAATATAAATGTAGGTATATTATTTATATTAGCCATATCACACCGAGCCATTTATTCCATCCTCAGATCTGGATGAGCTTCACATTCAAAATACCCACTCACTGGAGCTCTAGGGACAGTAGCACACACAATCTCATATGAAGTAATGTAGCAGTTATTCCATTCTCAGTCTTACTGATAAATGGATCATTAACACTTTCAACAGTAATTATTACACGACAACACCTATGACTAATTTTCTCCTGACCCCTACCCAGAATTTGATTATCTCTGCAGTAGCAGAAATCCAATGAAGGCCCACTTGATTTAACAGAAGAAGAATCAAAACCTGTATATGTCTTCAATGTAGAAAATGTAGCAGGCCCATTCACCCCGTCCTTCCTAGAGAATATGTCAATTTCCTTATAATAAACATTTCCACAACAATCTATTTTTAGGAGCATTCGACAATCCCTAGGTGCCAGAGTTATATACAGCCCAAGTCATCATTAAAACACATCTAACAATCTCCTTTCTATGAATTTGAGCATCCTACCCAGAATTTTGATATGATCAACGTATACATCTCTTATAAAAAGTTTTTTTACTACTAACATTAGCCCTATGTATATGAGAGTTTTCACTACATGTCATTATACCAGGCAACCTACCACAAACTTAAGAAATATGTCTGACAAAAGAGTTACTTTGATAGAGTAAACCATAGAGGTTTCAATGCTCTTATTCCTGGAATTGAATTCTTCCTAAGAATTTTACATTCTCCATGCTACCACTTTACACCACATTCTATATAGTAATGTTCTCTAAGTAAGCTTCAGGCCCATACCCCCAAAATGTTGTCGTATATCCTTCCTGTACTAATAAACTCTCTTTGTTTTTACTATCATTTTACTGACCATTTTCTCAGGAAACGTAATTGTATAACAAGCTCACACTGGTTAATGAGATCCCCATTCTAATAAATAACACGAACCCATAAGCTACAGAAGCATCCAACAAATATTTCCTAAAACAATCCACCACATCAATACTACTTATAATGGCTATTATCATTAATCTAATATACTGTGGTCAAAGAACACAATGAATAACAAAAATCTTTAATCCAGCAGCATCCACCCTCATGACAATCGCGCTTGTCACAAAAGTAGGACTTTCCCCATTTCACTTCTGAGTGCCTGAAGTCGCACAAGGTATCCCACGAACAGCAGGCCTGATGCTATCAGCCTGAAAAAATTGCACCGCTATCAGTTTTATATCACATGTCACCATCCATCAAGCTAAATATAGTATTAATCATAGTGATATTATAGCTGGAGGCTGAGGCAGACTTAGCCATACTCACCTGGAAAAAATTACACCCTCCTCATCAATTGCCCATATAGGATGAATAACAGCTATTATAAAGTATATTCCAACTATAACAATCCTAAACATACTAACTTATATCATAACAACACTCTCTTCTTCTTATTTATGCCCAGATCATGTACTACAAGAGTATCATTATCGCACACATGAGATAAAACACCTCCCATCCCAATCCTTTTCCTCACCATTATAGTATCATTAGGACATCACCCATCACTATCAGGGTTTTTATCCGAATGAGTAATTATCCAAGAGATAACAAAAATGATAACATCATTCTACCAACACTAATAGACATCATAGCAGTCCTCAACATATATTTCTACTTGCAGCTAACGTACTCCACATCACTATGTTCCCTTCATTAAACAACACAAAAATAAAACAATTTGAACATACAAAGAAATAACCTTCTTATCATTACCAATCATAATATCCACACGATTCCTACACATAACACCCATTCTATCGGTGCTGGACTAGGAATTTAGGTCAGTTGAGACCAAGAGCTTTCATAACCCTAAACAAGTAAAATTTACTTAATTCCTAAAACTAAGGATTGCAAGACTTCATCCTACATCAATTGAATGTAAAGCAAACATTGTAATTAAGCCAAATCTTTACGAGATTGATGAGTTTTAACCCCAGGAAACTTTAGTTAACAGGCAAATCCTCTAGTCAACTGGCTTCAGTCTACTTCTGCTTCATTTGAGAAAGAAAAAAAAGGCAGGAAAATCACCGGCAGAAGTTTAAGCTGCTTCTCTGAAGTTACAATTCAATTTGTTGATTCACCACAGGGTTTTCGAGAAAGAGGGCTCAATCTCTGTCTTTACATTTACAGTCTAATGCTAGCTCAGTCATTGTACCTCTGTTCATACACTGCTGATTATTTTCAACAAATCACAAAGTTATGAGCATTTTATATTTACTATTTGGTGCTTGAGCTGGAGTAGCAGGCAGCACCTTAAGTGTATTAATGCAGGCTGAGCTATGCTAACCTGGAGCGCTACTTGGAGATGTCCAAATCTGTAAGGTAGTCATAACAGTCCCTGCACTTGTAATAATTTTCTTTATAGTTGTACCCATTATGATTGCAGGGTTTGAAAACTGACTTGGGCCACTAACAACTCGGACAGCTGAGGTAGCATTTCCCCCCAAAAATCAAGTAAACTTTTGACTACTTCCCCTATCATTCTTACTCCTACTCATATCACCAATAGTAGAAGCTGGTTCTGGTACCAGTGGAATCCCATATTCAGCTCTAGCCTGCAATCTGGCCCATGCAGGAGCCTCTGTCGACCTAACCATTTTCACCTTACATTTAGCAGGTGTCTCTCCAATTCTTGGTATTATTACTTTTATTACTATAGTCTTTCATACAAAACCAGCAGTCATATCCCAATACCAAACACCACTATTAGTTTAATCTTCCCCAACTATAGCCATATTACTATAATTACCAGTGTCAGTCCGAGCAGCCAGAATTGCCATACTGTTAAGAGATAGAAATCTAAACACTACTTTCTTTGACCCTGCAGGAGGAGACCGAATCCTATACCAACACCTGTTTTGATTCTTTGGTCACCCTGAAGACTGCATTCATGGCCTACCAGGGTTTGTTATAAACTCACATATCATTACATACTATTTAGGACAAAAAGTGCCTTTCAGCTATTTGGGAATAGTATGAGTCATGTCCACTGGCTTTTTAGGATTTCTCTTGTGGGCCCATCATATGTTTACCATAGGGATAGCTGTCGACTCAGGAGCATACTTTGCATCAGCTACCGTAATTACTTCTATCCCTGCAGGAGTAAAAGTATCCAGCTGATTAGCAACTCTTTCTTTAATTTTTCTTTCTTTTTTTTTTTTTTTTTTTTGTGTTTTGTGTTGTTTTTTTTGCGTGTGGTTTTTTTGCTTGAGATGAGTGGCAGCTACTCTTCGTTGTGGTGCGCGGCCTTTTCATTGCAGTGGCTTCTCTTGTTGCAGAGCACGGCCTCTAGGCACGTGGACTTCAGTAGTTGTGGCTTGCGGGCTCTAGAGGGCAGGTTCAGTGGTTGCGTCGCACAGGTTTTTGCTCCGCGGCATGTGGAATCTTCCCAGACGAGGGCTCGAACCCGTGTCCCCTGCATTGGCAGGTGAGTTCTTAACCACTGCGTCACCATGGAAGTCCCTGGTTAGCAACTGTTCACGGAGGTAATACTATATGACCTCCCATTATATTATGAGTTTTAGGCTTTAGTTTTTCTTTTTACAGTAGGTGGTTTGACAGGAATCATCTTAGCCAACTCACCCCCAGACAATGTCCTCCAGGATACATACTATGTAGTAGCACACTTCCATGACCTAATGTCCACGGGAGCAGTCTTCACTATTATAGGAGGCTTCCTACACTGATTCCCACTATTCTCAGGTTATACAGTTAACTCAGCATGAGCAAAAATTCACTTCATAAGTATATTTGTAGTAGTAAATATGACTTCCTGCAGCACTTTCTTGGCCTCTCAGGGATGTCACTATGTTAGTCTGAGTACCCTGAGGCACACACAACATGAAGTATTTTGTCTTAGGCTCATTCATCTCAGTAGCAGCGGTAATGCTAATAATCTTCATACTTTGAAAAGCATTTGCGTCTAAGCAAGAAGTCTTAGCAGTGGAAACTTCTACTCCTAACCTAGAATGGTTACACGAACGCCCTACATCATATCCTATGTTTCAAGATCCTACCTATGTAAATGTAAAATAAGGAAGGACTCAAGTCCTTTTCAAGCAGTTTCAAGCCAACAGCATAACAATTATGTCTTTCTCAATAAATGAGATAAAAGTAAAAAGTGATGTAGCTTTGTCAAAGTTAAATCATAGGCTAAAATCCGGTATGTCAGTAAGGCATATCAATTTCATCTAGGCTCTCAAGACACAACATCACCGATTATGGAAGAACTTTTACATTTTCATCATCACACAATAATGATTTTTAAAATAAGTTCTCTAGTCCTCTATATTATTTCACTAATATTGACGTCTAAAGTGATTCATATATATACAATCGATGCACAGGTAGAGAAAATGTGAACAATTTACTAGGCATTATTGTAATCTTAGCTGCTCTATCATCATTGTGAATCCTTTACATGATACATGAAATCAATAACTCTTCCCAAACCATAAAAAAACTATGGGTCAGTAATGATACTGAAGCTACAAATACACAGATTATGAAGATTTAAATGTTGACTCCTCTGTAATCCCCACATCAGAGCTAAAACCAGGAGAATGATGACTAATAGAAATCAAAAACCGAGTAGTTAGAGATAGTCATTGAATATTAGTTAGTTTCATCTGAAATTGTTGTACACCCCTGAGCTGTTCCTTCTCAGGCCTAAAAAGAGCTGCTATCCCAGGACGCCAAAATTAAAGAATCCTAATTCCAACAGGACCAGGCCTATGTTGTGAACAAGTTATTCCACCACCCCTACAGAATTTGTTCTTGTCATTGTTCACATTTGAGCCATTCTAATGGGTGTCTCCAGGAGCCCAGTGGTGGAGGGGGGTTGGGAAGGATGCAGAGCTTCCCGAGAAAACCAAAGGACCTGGCACTCTGGGAAATTCAAAAGTGCTAGTCCAGTTCTGGCAATCTGAACACTTCCTCCTGAAAGCTGAAGTCTGAGAGACACTCTTCCTCCCTTTGGCCACATGGCTGACAAGAAAAGTAGCTGACCTGCAAAATGAGCACCAGTTAGGGTGGTGGGAGGGGGACACTCCTTACAATTATGCTAAAATGTTGCCATTTCCTCCAAACTCTCAGTATTCACGTCTCATTATTCATTCACAACTCTATTATTAGGGGTTACCACTGAATCAGTGATGACTCCAGAATTTCTGTAGGAGGGGTTTGGGGCAGGTGAGCAATTCATTCTGGGAAGGAGAGTCTAAAACCAAGTGAATGGCCCTTTACATTAGCATGGGAAAACTTCCCCCATCCCACCTTGTCTCAACAGAGCCATTAATCTAGAAAAAACTACAGTGTCACTTTTCAGAGGTCTACCCTGTGTGAACACATGGAGAAGACACTTAGAATGTTAAAGTCAGCATGTTAAGTAATTTCCTTGAAATACTGTAACTAGCACTCAGTTTACTTTCTTCACAGTCCTTTTCATAATCGATTTAATTTTAGTCCTTTTTAATTATATGGTACACCTTTAACACCTAAATTCCAAGAGAGAAGAAGCTTCATCTTATCTCCAGTGCCTAGCACATAATGGTTTCTAAATGGAACTGATTCCAAGATTGGCCTCATTTAGGAGTGGCTCTGTTGTTAAAATCAGGTTTCCAAAATCTTTAGTATCAATACGGAATCCTTTCCTCTCACATTTCACAGGAAGCTAGACTTCTTAAAGCCCAAACCTGGGTATGTTTGAAGTTTCCTTGACTGATTTAAATTGAATTAAAATTAAAATAATTATTTTGTACAGGAAAAACTTTCAATTTTTTTTTTCACTTTTCAGAACATAACCACCTTTTCTTTCTCTACTTTCTTCCCTTCAAAACAAACTTTGCAACATTCTGGTGAGTTAAATAATCAGAAATCTAGCCCCAAATTAAGCTCTCAATGACATGAAACACATTTTTTGCTCCTTTTAAATAAAAATCCTATATGCAGTACATTAATGTTTTCTTTTAGATATTACATTGACAACTTAATCCCTATTTCGAGGTATCCACATAACTGGTTTACAGTAAGGTTCTTTGGCAAAATATTTAACACAAGATATATAAAGATGTTGAGATCTAAGTAATATACCTTACTTGAAAGGCATGAATAGTTTTTAAACAGTGTAGCATAATCACACTTAAGACCATAGTTACTTTGTTCCCAAGTCCCTGCAATTCTATTTGAGGGGAGTTCTAAAAGACCTCTGTCTTCTCCTGTGTCCACAACTGTAGACGTACACTGATGGTCCTCAATCCTGCTCTTCAAACTTCAAATAAGGGGCGAGAGACAAGGCTCGGGACTTGGAAAAGTCCTAGAAATTCCCTGCCTCAAAAGCACTTTCAGAGTTTCACATTTCCCTAAGGAAGACAGAGCTGAGTAGACATGCCCAAGTCTTCCAAATCCTGCTGGTTGTTTTGAATTATGGCTACACTGGCTGTGTACCCCTTGAGTTTTTATCTCCACATACTTGAATGAAATCCTGTAGTTCCTCTTTGGTTCTAGCATCTGTGACCTCTTCACAGGGTCTATATGCCACAGCTGTTTTACCACTTTCTGAAATCAAGTGAACAAGGATCAATTCAGAAGTTTTCTTGTTCTAAAACTTCCTGTATACAATGGTAGCACGGAATAATTAGACATTCTTTTGATTTCTAGAAGCAGAAAATAAGAGCATTTTCCTAGAAGTTCCCTCATCTGACACTTCAGTTTTTATCATAATTATTTGTGAAAACATATATAAGAAGCATCAACTTTGGTTCAAAAACTTTATGATCTTAGAAATAAGAACTAAGGAATAAGGACATAGAAATTAAAAGCTGTGGAAACAAAAATGTTCAATCACAATACAATTAAATAGGAAGGCATTAGGTATGGGTCAAAGTGAGTTCAAACTTGGGATAGATACCACTGGACTATAATAGATACTTCCTATTAGAAGCAAGGCAAGTGCCTACTCCTTGGGACCAAAATTCTACCAGATACAATGAAAAAAGCTTCGGAGACAGAGACAGAGAGAGAGAGCATTTGAACACTCTACTGGCAGAAACTGGCCCACGTACCCTTTGGACAATACAGCTTTCCTCAAGGCCAGCTAGAGCCACCAGGCTTTTTGATCTAAGGAGTTTTGTGTACATATAAGGAGTACCTTGGCACATTAGGCACAAACAACCCAGGCATTTAGTTTGGTTCTTAAAGGTTGTTACCCAGAGTTGACAGCTGATGGAGATTCTGCCTGATGACCAGGGAAGTCAAACTTCACCGGAAGGACTGCCCAGGTTGGAAGGCCAAGACCAATCCAGGGTCAACTCTTACAAGCAAATAAGCTCTCTGACAACTTCGCTAGGATTTCTCAGTCTCTCAGCCTGCAGGGCTGTAAAGCAGGGGTGGAATTCTGTTCCGGGAATCTATTAATCATAAAGTTTCCTTTGGGCACAGCCTGTGCCATACTCACCACTGTATAACTCGATAGGGAACACAATCAACGCTATTCAATAGCATGACCACTTTCAAGGCTCACAAAAACATAGCCAATTATTATATAAGAATCATATTCACCCAATATATCAGAAATGAAAACTGAAATTAAACTGATTCCAAAAACATAATCTCATAAACTCTTCAACAAGGAAACAACGGTAAAAATAATAGTCAATATACTTTGTCTGCTTACTATGTTTCAGGCATAGTTCTAAGATTTTTACATTCATCATCTCATTTACTCTTACAATATCCCCGATTTGGTGGTAAGCTGAATTACTAACCCTATTCGCAGATAAAGAAATTGCAGCTTAGAGATATTAAATACCTTCAAATGTCTCTGGCTGGAAAAACCTAAAATTGCAACAACAACAAAATCTAAGAGACAAAGTTAGGACTCAAACACAGGTGTCCAAGGCTTATAATCACTACACTATTCTGTTTGATAAGCAAGCAATTGAGGGAGAACTGGATCAAGCACTTTCTGTATGAACTGAGGCAAGTGATCCTACATCTAAACACTGGGGACAATAATATTTGCTGTCGTTTTTCTCATAAATGCCACAAAGAACAAATGTAAGACTGCTGCTGTGAAAGCATCTGGTGAATGAAAGAATAAGTAATGTCGTAGATAACCGTTATTTTCATCCAATTAACTTTTCAAATAAGTTTATTTGCTCACTGCAACTGAAGCACTTCAACGACAATCAAAAAGGTCTTACCTAAAACCACAATAAGCAATTTCTGGAATGCATCTGTCATAGCTTTCTGAATAGCAAGTTTCTGGGTTACCTTCCCAGGTAACCCTAAGGAATGATAATGACCCTAAATCCAACCAAAACAGATGAATTTAAAATGCCTATATGAATAACTGATTTCTAGGTTATATGTTTAAAACTAAAAATGCATCTGTGATTCTTACATCATTATCTCAGTGATTAAGGGCAGGCACAACACTGGGGTACGGGTGAATGTCTCCGTTGCAGGTATACCCTGGCATGGCACATTTTTACTGCTCGGATCTATTCTGGAATTTCCTAAAATACTAGACGGGAAATGCAAACCAAGAACGTGACACAAATCTCATATTACTCACAGATTTCAAATGGACAAGCTGAGGCTACAATGATACAGACCCTGCTCTTCTGCGTGTAAAAGGCTGGATTCATACAGTGAGATAGATTTGATTGTAGTGCAGATGATCTGGCCTCTACTCAACCATCACCCACTCAGGTGGATGGTGGAGCCTCCTCCACCCCATTCGCTAACAGCCCTGCCTCTGACTTAAAACCCTAAGCCCAAGTGCCATGGATTCTAGGAAAAAACTCAGTACCAATCAGAATCCCCTTTCTAGGGATCTACATTTACTTTTTCCTCTCAGGCCCTTCTATAGGAGGCAAAGGACTGAACCCTTCCACAAGAGTTTATTTCAATCTTTAGACAATGATTTTGTTGAGATAACTGAAGGCCAGAAGACATGTGCATTTGAAGGACTATTTTAGTACAAAACAAATTATTAACAAAAGCAAAAACAAAACAAACAAAAGAACTAACTAATTTTCCCTCCTCCTAAGCTTCTTGGCAGGCAGTCAGTACTAAAATTCTAAAGTTTAAGGTGCTGTCAGTTATTGCCTAAGATAAAAAGCTATATTGTCGGGCAGAAAAATTCTTCCCAGGGCTTTGGTTGCTTAGAAAAGATGATGATGTATCTGAAAAGTTGAGTTTCAGAAGGAAAGGAAAAAAGAGAAATCCCACTCCCTCACCTCCCCACACACACACATACTGGAAAACAGACCTTCCTCCAACTTATCCAAAGGTTCCTCAGCCATGCCAACTCCGGGACTCCTGCACTCGTGGGAGGTGAACACCACCTCTAAAGCACAGCAGAACTTCAGGCTTTGCTTCTCAAGTGGTGTCACAATATCTTCATTTTCCCTTTCTTCAAGGTTATAAAGATCCCGAAGCTGTTAGGATTTTGAATTAAAGGCTAGACTTCAACATATACTGTTGTTAGAAATAAATACTAAACTCCAGCAATCCCAGGTAATAGTTTAGGTATGCTATAGCTTCAAAATCAACTGAGACTTGCTAATGAATGACTAGATATGGACCACTATTTTTTTATGATATACCATACAAATACTGGAGAAAATTATGGACACCACCATCCAAGTCATTGAGATTATCACTAATTCTAGGTGGCAGGCCAATGCTCAGATACTTCCATGTGGAAGTCTCTCACATCTCCTCCCCATAGCCCTGTTCTATTCTTCTCTCTAAAGTCTAGGAGTTCAATGTTGAAAAGAGTCTGGTTAGTCAAAGAAAATCTACAGAGTTTACCTTGATGATCCTTTTAGACCACCCATGGAAACCAAAGTAGTAATTTGCCAATTCTTGGCATCTGGAGCTGTTTAGGGCAAGTGTATTATGTTGAACCGCCTTATGTCTGGTGCCGAGACGAACCTAAAGACATAAAAGACCTAAAAATATCACCACCCTACATAGAGACTTATTTTGGATATACCTGAGATTTATCAATAACAATTTTATAGAGTGGTTGTGAAGATTAAGTAGGACATTTTAAGCAATGAGTTCACAATGATTCCTAAATAAATGTTATTTATTATTTTTAAGTCAGTAGTTTTCTGCATCATTTCCAGGGCCCCTGATTAACCGGAAGCTTCCCTGACCTCTGGTGGTGAAAGTGATGATGAAAGCAACCAAGGAAGCCCAGCAGAAGCCTATTATGGGGTTGGGGGTAAGCAAAGGAAGTGAACTGTTTTACTTGTCTCATCCTGTAGCTCCTGCTTGAGAATATGACCTGAAGAGGAGATAAGATGGACCTGCCACTGAATTAGGACCTTAATCTGTAGCACCCCCTCCCCAAGTTACTAACCCCTGTTAGAAGAGGGAATACGTATACCTCTATAAATGTAAATGAAGCAACGAAAAGAATTAGAGGTTCATCTGCATTAACAAGCTTCTTTGAGAGTGCAAATATTTCCAGTCTTAACTCCCTAAAGAACTTACATATTACTGTGGATTTTTTACATCACTAGTTCTTTCTTAAATGTCTATTTCCATTTTGAACAGGGTATAGCATATAAATATAGTCATAAAAATTCAAATAATACAAATAAGGTCAAAGCATTGTTAATTCTTTATTGATTTGTTTGTGTATCTTCCTCTCTCACTAGTTTATTAACTCCTTAAGTGTTTGAAGGAACCATATATTATTCTTTCCTTGTTACCAGAAACAAGCATAGATCTTGGCATATAATAGAGGAGTGATGGTCTGTTGACTGAGTGAATGAATGAGTACATAAGAAAATGAAATTACTTTCTCCAACTGAAGCTGCCTGCTGGGAAAGAGAAATGAAGACTAATTTTTAAATGTTGAGTGTCACATGGGAGGCTAGGTCCTGTGCGGTGAGTCATAATGGAGCTGTCCTGGAGAATTAGGAAGCTTCAGAAGGGCTCTGAGCCCCTGGGTAGTAGAGACAGTTCACATCTTGGATAACCTTGCCACAGTTCTTGCCGGCAAACATTTCCCTTCATGCTACTGAGAAAAACTCAGATACATTAGGTCTTTCCTTCATTTTATTTTAAGATATTATTCTCTTTTCTGTATTTATAAAAAACACAGGGGAAAAAAGATAAGAAGTATGTATAGCTGCCAATGAATAAAATAACACATGATTGGAACTTCCGTGCTGGTGCAGTGGTTAAGACTCTTTGGTCCCAATGCAGGTGACCCGGGTCCGATCCCTGGTCAGGGAACTAGGTCTCACATGCATGCTGCAACTAAGAGTTCGCATGCCACATTTAAGGAGCCTGCAAGCCACAACTAAAGGAGCCTGCCTGCTGCAACTGGGGAGCCCACATGCCACAACTGGGGAGCCCTTGAGCCGCAACTAAAGAGCCCGCCTGCTGCAACCAAATAAATAAATAAAACTGAAAAAGAACGCATAAGTAATGTAGGAAACAATTTCGGGGTTGTGGGTTATAAACTAAGGCTCTGCATTAAATAAAGAAATCTAATACGAATGCCCTTTCCTCTCAACTCTATAGTGACTTGTAGAACATTTTCTTCATTACGCTATCAGTGATGGGCTTTATGCTGTGAAAATGTCACAGCTTTATGCTGTGAAAATGGGCTTTATGCTTATGGAATGGTCTTAATGTCCAATATAAGAAAAGAACTCATTACTCACAACTGATACCAAGTAACTGTTTCATAATCTTTCCAGGACCATCTGTAATATCTGAGTGGTTATGTGAAATGGTCGCAGGGTCTGCAAATTAAAGAATGTCTGACACAAAATCATTTCAATCCCAGGGAGTACAGCCAGGATTGAAAAGGATGTTAAACAGGGTACAGAAGTGGGAGGTAGTGTACCTGGAGTCACATCTGAGGAGAGTTCTCAGATTCAATAAAGGTGAAATCAGTGAGTAAAGAAATATGGGTGAGAATAGGCAGCAAGGTCAGTAGGAAGTAGCCAGAACAAGAAGCCAATCAGAGAAGACACACAATTATAAAGGGAAATCTAAGCCTCACTCACTTATTCAGAGGAATTGAAAAGGTCCTTGAAAAAGGAATGGTGGCTGAATGGAGGCACATAATGAAATGATAGTTCTGGGGAAGTAAAATTGGATGGCATGTTGATATGAAATAAGGTTTCTACAATGCATTAAAGAATATTTTAACCATTTTCTGGAATCTGAAGGGAGTTCTGAATAGGCAGTTTGAGAGTGATGATGATGATGAAGCCTCCTTTATGTTACATCTGACAAAAGTTTGTCAAGCTCGGGACTCCCCTGGTGGCACAATTGTTGAGTCCACCTGCCAGTGCAGGGGACACGGGTTCGATCCCTGGTCCAGGAAGATCCCACATGCCGCAGAGCAACTAAGCCCGTGTGCCACAACTACTGAGCCTGTGCTCTAGAGCCTGTGAGCCAAAACTACTGAAACTGCGTGCCTAGAAACCATGCTCTGCAACAAGAGAAGCCATCGCGATGAGAAGCTCACGCCCCGCAACAAAGAGCAGCCCCTGCTCGCCGCAAATAGAGAAAGCGGCGCGCAGCAACAAGACCCAATGCAGCCAAAAATAAATTAATTAATTAATTAATTAATTTTAAAAATTGTCAACCTCACACATTTAAAATCCACATAAAAGTAAATATAAGGAAGACTCTTGTGAAGATTTCTTAAATTAAGGGGCAGCATAAAATGACATGGGGTTTAACATCCGTTAAGTTTCGGTTTGGCCTCTAGTTTCCACATTTACTGTCATGAACCTTAAGTAAGTCACTTAACCATCCTGAGTTTGAATTTCTTCATCTAAGAAAAAGAAAGAAACAACTAGGGAACTGGGGGATCAGTGGAGCAGTGCATCTGAGAGCATTCTGAACACCACAGTGCTGTACAAACGCTGGCCTTCCCCCACCCCCCACCGGGACCTTAGTTCCCAGACCAGGGATTGAACCCGGGCCCTCAGCAGTGAAAGTGCAGAGTCCTAACCACTGGACCGCCAGGGAATTCCCGATGGCCTATTAGTTTTAAATTCAGCACTTCATCCCAGTAGAGCGAGGAATTCAACATTTGGACCCACCTTCACTGGAGATGTCTGAAAAAGCTGCTTCTGGTTGCATGCCTTTTGGGCTCTGTGGGCATCCCTTGCTGAATAAAACTTGATGATGGCAAAGAACCCAGAACTGGCCACTGTTGCGTTTGGGAAGACTCGGACCAAATACAGAAGGCCAAACCGGGAGAAGACTGTGAACAGAGAACGCTGTAGGGTGGTCCCACGCTAAGTAAGTGCAGGAAATTTCAGGCCCAGGAAACCAAACCGCCCATTCCCTTATATTCCCCCAGCCCTTTGGCACAGGAAACTGTGGTGAGCCTGCTACTCCAAACACTTCTCATTTCGTGAACAAGTTTCCCTCTGAAATCCTAAGCTTCGAGAAGCATTAGGAGGCAATGCCTTCTGTTGGGAACTATGTCTCAAAAATCTATGGGAGCAAGTTGACTGCTCAGGTCGTCTCTGGAACTAAGATTCCTCTCAGCGGAGACCACAGGCAGATGAGGTGCTGAAGCAGTACCCCGGGGCGCCCAGTTACTGGGGCGCGGGGCAGCTTCCTCCACCCCTCCCTCCGCTCCGGCTCGTCTCACTTGCAAGGCCTCGGCCGTGGGTCGAGAGCTCAGCTCCCACACCAGCAAGCTTTCGTCACCCCCGAAGGGAACCGCGAAAGGTACGAAGTGCAGCATCCTACATCACCGCGCGTGCGCTGCTCGGGGCGCAAGCGGACTGCGCCAGCGAACGTGCACCGGTGCTTTTTAAAAAGTTAGTGCCAATAAATCTAATACATAGAAAAATAGTTGAAAGCCCCTGAGTGTTTTGTGGATAGAAAAGCTTGAGATTCAGAGCACGTTTAGAGCTTGACAGTCTAAGAATAAACTAACTCTCCGTTCCATTAGAAGGACTAGGTAGCAGCTTCTGGTTATGGAACCAGAAACTCTCAGGCTCTAAATAGAACATAAAACAGCATCACTTGTACCCTTTATAAAATTGCAGAAACAAACAAAATAAACAAAAATATATTTACACCTGTCCTATAAGACACAGGGTACTTGAGACCTAATGTATATAAAATCAGTTTACAAACTGTGATGCACTATATCAATAAGTTCTCATTTGCAGAGAGCACAGCATAGAATATGTGGCCATTAATGTTAATTCCCTTCCCCCTTGGATTCCTTTCTCTTGTTCCTTTAACTATGCAGATCCCTTATATTATTAAGCTAACAATGTAACTGAGTTATTATTAGCTTAATAATGTAACCAAGAATCTGATTTTTAGCAAAGGGGTAGTTCTTAGAAACTTAGGGAGCTGGAACTCTGAATGAATGAATTAAAATAATGCAATTACATCATTAGTTTTAAAATTTATCATCATTGACTAAAATATTAAATTAAAAATTTATTATCCTGCAATTGAGACTCACCACAACGTGTGACATCTGTCAGGCATTCACTGTCACAACGTAGCTTGAATGTCTTACAGACAACCTCAATAATATTTTTAAAGTGGCAGAGGCAGCAGGCCATACGGTAGGTAAGATCCTACAAATGGAAACATAGGTAATTAAATTCATGGTAAAAGAGATACTTGAGTAGGTAGAAGAGGTAGGCCAAGGCCACCACAGACCAGTGCAAAAAGGAGTTCTTGGGGCATATGGACTGCAGAACTGGATAGGGGCCTGTTGGCCAATTGCTCCTCTTGACTGTTGTAAATAAATATAGAGGAGGAGAGATTAGGATGGCAGTAGGTACGGTATGCCTAGAAAATAGGGAATAGGGATTAGAATACGGTGACATTGATCTGTAGTTTAATTCAGAAGTATCTCCTTCCAACCCGAAAGCCTCACTTTGGGTTGAGAGTACACAGGAACAAGGCAAACATCTAAGAAGAGTATGAATAATATTGCACCTTCTGAAGTCCCTTTCTCAGGTCCTATCTGTGAGTATTAATATATTAGAAATTATTCTAGTAATAAAAAAGCATCCTGTGGTTAAACAATAACAGAGATTGCATTGGCCAAATCTGGACAGAAGGAACATTCCAAAGAATAACATTATCAGTATAATAGGGAATAACATAGTTAATTTTTTTAAAAAGCACATGAGTTCATAATGATACTCAAAATGAAAAGTGGGGGAGCTCTTCTTTAGAGAATAATGTCAACTAATAAATGCAAAAGGAATGATAGAATTAGGAAAGTGTCATTTTGCATCTATCAATGTAATAATCGATTCAGACAAGGATTATCATTGATGCACAGTTGGGTGAAGAGTTGGTTGAAAGTAGGATCTTCACTGATCCCAAAGTGTCACCCCACATATGATTTATCAATTACCAAGGGGAAAAATAATTTTACAATGGAGAGATACGGAAGATACCACCTTAATCAAGTGATCAAACTTAGCACTGGGCCACCTGAAGTGATGAAGTATGAAGAATACATCACCTACTTAGTATTCTTCCCCAAAATATTTACTTTGAATCTAATGAGGAAACAGACAAATCCAGATTGTGGGGCAATTTACAAGATAACTGGCTTAGATTGTTCAAAAATACCAATGTCATAAAAGACCAAAAAAAATAGTAGGGAAATATTCTAGATTAAAGGAAACAAAGACATGACATGCAATGCCTAATCTTTAATTGGACCCTGTATCAAAAGAAAAAAGACTTGAATGCTATTGGCTTCTGGCCAAGATGAAGTAACAAGGCCCAGTTTAACCTCCCACCTGAAACAATGAAATCATCAGACAGAACATATGAAAGAACAGTTTTCAAGAAACTGGACCTCAGGCAATAAAGTTCAGTGATCCCCAGGAGATGGGAAATAAATGAAGTGATCCCTATATTTGCCCTAACTTACTTCTCTGAGAGAGTTTCCAGGTCATGGTACAGGGAAGAGACGTCCAGGCAGAGACTAGTGGATTCCCTGACTGAGGAAATGGAGCTGAGAGTCTGGAAAAACCAGGGTAACTAGAGTTCACAAAGCAGACTACCAGAGAGAAAAGAAGTGCACAGACAAAGAAGTCTGGAGATATGCAGAGGGATCTCTTGAGAATTCAGCAAAGTATTGGTCAGTACATTTGTGTGAGGAATTACTTGATGCCAGGAAAAGAAACACATGAAAGGATTAATAATAAGAATAACTGGATATCACACAGGGTTGTAGGAATAATACCTGTTCTTACAAGTCAAACTGGAAAACCTCATGATACTCAGAAAAGACTTGTCTCAGTAGTTGCAAATAATGAGCTCCAGACTAAAGGCTACTTGGACTCCTACACAACGAATCTTAAAAGCTAGACCTAAAAGAATAAAATTGTTTTGAGTAACTTAATTTCACCCAAAACAAAGCCCAAGCATTTTACAGGAATATAAATATATATAGCACACAAGAAAATAAAACTCACAATATCGGGGACCATATGAAAAATTGGCAAGCATGCAAAGAAGTAGGAAAATATGACCCATACTGAGGAGAAAAGCCAATCAATCAAAACTAACCCATAATCTATACAGATGTTAGAATTGACATTAAACATTTAAAAAGTTATTATACATGAAGAAATGTTATTATAACTGTATTTCATATGTTAAAAAACCCAGACTATACACTGAAAATGTTAAGTACAGTCATGGAAAATGTAAAACAGACCCAAATTGAGCTTCTAGAGATTAAACACCATGCCTAAATGAAAAAGATATTGAACGAGCTTAATGGGAGATTAGACACTGCAGAAGAAACGGTCAGTGAGCATAAGGCATAGTAATAGAAACTATCCAACATGAAACAAAAAGAGTGACAAAACAAAACAACAACAAAAATGAATAGAGCATTAGTGAGTTGTGCAACAACTTCAAGTGGCCTAATACATGTGCACTTAGAGTCCATGAAGGAGACGAGAAATTTCAAAAATTTGAAGAAATAATAGCCATAATTTTTCCAAATTGGTAAACACTATAAACCCACAAATTCAAGAAGCTCAATGAAATTTAAGCATAAGAAACATGGACAAAACTACACAAAAGCACAAAAAATAATCAAATTGCTCAAAACCAGCAATAAAGAGAAAAATTTAAAAGCAGCCAGAGGAAAAAAACTACACAATACATACAGAGGAACAAAGATAACAATGACAACAGAATTTTTTGGGAAACAATGTAAATGAGAACTCAGTGAAATAACATCTTTAAAGTAGTAAATTGAATTCTATCAAGCTAGAATTCTATACCCAGATCTGTCAAAACAAAAGCAAAATGAAGACTGTCTCAGACATACAAAAGGTGAAAGAATTCATTACTAGTACAGTTTCACTATAAGGAATGTTAAAAGAAGTATTTTTAAGCAGAAGGAAAATGACACCAGATTGGAATATGGATCTACACAGAAGATTAAGAATACTGGAATTGGGACTTCCCTGGTGGTTCAGTGGTTAAGAATCTGCCTGCCAATGCAGGGGACACGGGTTCATCCCTGGTCCAGGAAGATCCCACATGCCGCGGAGCAACAAAGCCCGTATGCCAAAACTACTAAGCCTGCATTCTAAAGCCTGTGTGCCACAACTACTGATGCCCACACACCTAGAGCCTGTGCTCTGCAACAAGAGAAGTCATCCAATGAGAAGCCGGTGCACTGCATTGAGCAGTAGTCCCTGCTCGCCGCAACTAGAGAAAGCCCAGGAAAGCAACAAAGACCCAACACAGCCAAAAAAGTAACTTAACAAAAATACTTTTAAAAATTTTTAAAGGATTTTAGTCATTCAATATATGTGTCTGACCACAATGGAAATAAATTAGAAATTAACAAATACGAAAAAGCTCCAAATATTTGGAAACTAAACAACACACTTCTGAGTAACTTTGTGGTCAAAGAAGAAATCAAAAGGGAAATCAGAAACTATTCTGAACTCACTAAACTGAAAACATAATATATCAACATGTGGGATATTGCTAACGCTGTACTCAGCTTCCTCAAATTCCACCTTAATCTGGGAAAATGAGAGCAAATTAATCACAGAGTAAGAGAAGAAAGAACACAATAAAGATCAAAGTAGAAATAAATAAAATGGAAAACAGAAAAATACTATAGATATTAAAAGGATAATAAAAGAATATATAGAATACTTTATACCAATAAATTCAAGATGAAATGGACAAATTCCTTGAAAGACAGTCACTACTAAAGTTTATTCAAGAATACAGATATTAAAGAAATTGGATGTGCAGTTTAAAACCTTCGAACAAAGAAAGCTTCAAGTCCCGGTGGCTTAACTGATAAATTCCACTGAACATTTAAAGAATAATATAATGCCAATTCTACACAAGCTCTACCAGAAAGTTGAAGAGAAGGGAATACTTCCCAACTTATTTATAAGGCCAACTTTCACCGTATCAAGATTAGACAATGACATTACAAGAAAACTATAGACCAATATATCTCATGAACACAGAGGCAAAAATTCATAACAAAATTTTAGCATATCAAATCCAATAATATATAAAAAGATGATACATCATGACCAATTGGGTTTATCTCAAAAATGAAAGGTTGGTTTAATATTTGAAAATCAATTTACCCAACTTAGTACACTAGAAAAGAAAAATCAGGACATCTCTGGTGGGGCAGTGGTTAAGAATCCACCTGCCAGTGCAGGGGACATGGGTTTCAGCCCTGTTCCAGGAAGA